GTAGTAGTATACGTTAAACCGAGAGCATGCGTATAGAGAACTTCCAAATCTGACTTCGTATGAGGAAGTTAAATTTCTAAGATTTAGCATAACAGGACATAGTCTGAAAATCAAATTTTAGATCGATGGATTATTAGCCGACACAACCAAAATGAGAATCAAATATCTCGTTAATAGGAGCTCAACGATACAAAGACAGACGAAAACGGATGTCAGATGACAAACTTATGAATTTTTAACGGACTTTAACAGTCTAAGTCTGTTAAAATATAACTTTAAAAATAAAGTCAAAATTAGCTGACAAAGTTTGAATGAAAGTTGTAGATCACGTCACTACCTACGCGTGGATATAAATAACGTAAAAACGGAGCTTATATTTGTGTATTCGGAATCATTTAGTTCATGAAAAAGAAGAAAACATATTAAAAATCCTAAAGGGCATATTATTAAATTCTATATTTGTGTATATAACATGATTACATTTGTAAATTTTTTCTTCAAGGTCAAGATTATGCCGATCTATTCTATGTTTTATATATATACAGTTAAAAACTTATGTTGTTAAATCTATATAAGTCTTAATCAATTAAACATGCAAGAAAACAACTTCATAAAAGTTTAAGTGTGAATTTATTAGAAAATGAAGTTACTAAAATCCGCCATCAACATAAATTCGTTACAATTTCAATATATTGATGTAAGTGTGGATGTATAAACACTAAAGTGTATATTTTATTAAATAATCCCCACGTTTGACTATTATTAATTCTTTTCTTAATTATATTGCATTACTAAGGGATTTGGAGTGTTTTTTGGGATACGAGCTAAGAAAAGTATTGTTAGGAAAGAACAAGTGGCTAACCTAGATATTGTATTCAAGCTTGAATCCTCCTTGAAAGTTTTTTTTTTTTTTTTTTTTTTTTTTTTTTTTTTTTTTTTTATGTCAATCTCTCATGAGTTTTGATACTTGTCATTTTATTAATAAATGTTTTTTTTTTCTATTTGTCATTTTCTTATTTTTTTATCTTTCTTAATTAACACATCATATTTGCACCTTAATTAATAATTGTCTTAATTGAAAATAACCAATAAATTACAATATTACAACTCATATAGTATTTAATATGTTTTAAGTTCAAATTTTAAATTTCAAATTTAAATAAATTTTTGTTTTAACCTTCATATTTAAGTTTTTTGTTTTATCCAACTCGTATAACATACGGGTTTCACAACTAGTTTAGAATCAATAAAAATCATTCTTTCATATTGCAATTCAATCCCCAATTTCAGGCTTCAAATTAGCAAACCATATATATAGAAATCAATTACTTATCTTTTTTACTTTAAAATCAACCACGTCTGACTTTTCCATATTCCACTTGCCTTCATTTTTACAAAAAATTCATCCTGTGAGGAGTGAAAATTTTTAAAATTCGATAAATATTCAAAGAAAGTTAAAATCCTAGACCCAAAAAAGCTAAAATCATTTGCTGAAATATGTTGATGATGCTCTAATCCCTCTTCGTTCTCAGTTCTGACTCTTTGTTTTCAGTCTCTTCTTCAGCTGTCGGCCTCTCGCTGACTAACCGAATGAAATACATCTTACAATCGGCTACACTTTTTGCCTCCGTCTGTCAGCCTACGATCAAGCGCCGTTGGTAGACCCATAGGACATCACTACCCTCTAGGACTCTCCAAATCTCGTCCGTCATTGCTACACGACTCATCGTTGATTAGATTTTTTTATTTGTTTTTGAAAATCCTCTCATCATTTACTTTACTGATAGTATTCTGCAGTGCTTGTGGGTAGCTTTTACGTGATAAAAACTAAGAACATTAATACATAGAGTATATAATATATAAACATTATTGTTTGTTTTGTATTTGTTTTATCTTTTTTTTTTTTTTAAGGAATTAAAGAAAACTTGGCTGAATTCTGGTTTATTGGGTTTACCAAAGTATTGGAAATGTAGCTGAGATTTACGTTAAATAGGGTAGTTTTTTCCACATTTAATAATTCTTATGTACAACTTTTGAAGCATGAGGCACAAGATTTTTTTTGCTTCATTTTCTGATTTTATGCATTTTCAAGAAAGGATACAATTGTTATTTCGTTATTATGTTTTTTATATTAAAGTTAAATGCTTAAAGCTTGTGGTATAAGTCTTTAAAGTCCAAGGAACTAAGGAGCCAAATCCAAAAAGTTTTGTAGCCAATTTCTAATAACCACAAGTCCACTCTTACTGATACTTTTTAAATTATCTTTTAGTTTTCTTATTAAAATTAATTCTATCTTTGATTTATATGATATATAGAAAGTCTATCATGATAAAAAATCAATTTCTATATTAGGTCTTATTTGTATTGAAATATTTACTTTAAGCAAAAAAATTTACTAGAAAGTGTTATATGCAAATTATTAATGTGTATAGAAATGAAATCAAAATAGATTTATTTGATTGAAATGTGATTATGTTTTATTAAACTTTTATAATCATTTTGTTTTTTTAAGACTAAGATTATTAGTTTATTTATTAAATCCTTTAATATTTCGATTATTATTTTTAATTCGTTAGTTAAAAAGTAACTAATTTAAAATTTTATTTATTTGCTCTTTGAAAATAAGTTATATGTTTTATTTTGATTCCCAGTTGATGGTCATTCACACTCACGGTTGACACCAATTGACGGCGGCCATTGAAATGGCCTTGCATTTTCAAATCTATTTTTTCATTGATTCAAAAACATGAGGGTAAAATACGATAATTACCTTTTTCAAATACTTTTAAACTATTAATCATATTTTATATTTGTTTTATAACATTTTTTTATAATTGTAACATTATACATATCTTTTTATTTAACATACAATTTGTATATTAAATACTAATTATTTATTATTTCATATACATATGATAGAATATACCATGTATTCCACTTCAGCTTAAGAACGACAAAAATTAAGGAAATTATATTTGGATAATAGACAATTTAAAAAAATATCTACCATATCATATGGTCGTACTTCATCTACATCACAACCTTTTAACATTACCCAAAAAAGTAATTATTTTGTATGTTATTATTATTACTTTTTGTATAATTACTATGTTCTTTGTTAAATAATATAAACATTTCATATCTATATAATTAATTGATATTAATGATTTTTTTCGTTATTAACTATATTTAAAATTATGTGTAGCTAATGTTTTCGGTCATCGTCAGCATTTAAAAACCAACTCTGATAAAATTTCTCAATGATTCTCAAGTTTCCAATCTCCTTCAAATATCAATTATATGGCTCCCCTATCCAATATATCAAATAATAATAATAATAATAATAATAATAATAATAATACATGGATTATTCTTTTACATTACGATAACTACATGATTAAAAAGTTACATATTTTTTTCAGCTTTATCTACCAATCCTTATAACTGTCGAACACCGTCATCCAAACAATTTTCTCTAAAAGTGCATAACTTAGAAATAAAGTTTGCACATATATCTCCTATATTTATATTCCAACAGATGATCATATTAATGGTCTACATATTATTCAATCCTTACATGCAGGTATATAAAAAACAAATCATAATAAATACAAACATAAGTTACAAACTTAGGTTATAGATTATATTTTAATTAAACTTTATTTCTATTATAGATTCCGAGAGAAAAATTGATTCTACTTCAGCTAAAGAGTAACCACTACTAGAAAAACAACCTTTTACGACGCTCATTGCGCGTCGTAAAAGGCTCAGACGACGCGCAAATGCGTGTTAAGGAAGGCCCTGTCATAAAGAGAGACGACGCGCATTTACGACGCACATTTACGACGCGCAATTACGACGCGCGTTTACGACACACAATGCGTATCAAGGAAGGCCCTGTCATAAAGGAAGACGACACGCATTCGCGTGTCGTAACCTTACGACGCGCGTGTTAATGACATGCAATGCGTATCAAGAAAGCCCATGTCAAGAAAGGTCATGTCATAAATGAAGACGACACACATTTTTGCGTATCGTAAATTTAAATGTTTAAAAAAAATAAATTTATATATTTATTAATTTTTAAATTAAATTTGCATTTAATTTCTCATAATATAAATAAAATACCATATACAAAAAATACAATCCATTGCATAATATAAAATAAAATTTCATACTCAAAAAATAAAATAAATTGCACAAATTATAATGTCATACAAAGAATCATTCAAATGTTAAACAAAAATAATACATTGCTAACATGGGTTATACATTCCTATAAAACTAACAAATAATCATACAACTCTGTTTGTTACTGGAAAGGAATGTCAAACATGATTACAAGTCTCCCTTAATCTTGATTACTCACCTGCTTAAGTAGAATGTTGTTGTTGAGAAGGTTACCTAGCAACAGAGAAAAACACAACACCTCTCCCACAATCACAACATCATTTACAAAGAAAGGGTTGTCAATTACTTTCATTAAGACTTTCATTCAATCACAAAAATATTAAATAAAAGGGTGAAAAAGTAACTTACTTTTGATAAGTTGATCTCCCTTAGAGCAAACACAGCTAAAGCATTGAACAAGACCCTATTTCAAAATTTTATAAATACACAAATCATGATACCTGATATTGGAATACACACTTTGAGACATGAATTAATACGATTAGATTAACCTGGATACATAGGAAGTAAAGATGGAAGGTGCCAGAACTCCGGGGGCATTGGGTTGGTTCCTTCCCACTCGCACACACCAAGCCAGAACTCCACTTAATCCAGCACCAAAATAAGCCTGCATTCAGAAAGCTGCAGGGGTGAGTCACAATTCAAGAATCTGTTAAAATTTGAGGAATAACATGTTCAACCAAAACAATATTAGAAAACAGGGTTAAATGTGAAACATAGCAATGTAATAATTATCAAGGTGCTGGAATACTTGAAATCTAGATTATTTGCTTGTTTGTACATCCAGACGATTTTATCACGAACATAAGTCATGTTATCAACTTTCTGAAGAAGTATACCAAGACATTTGTAGGAGAAGAATACTCTCAATAAGCTAATTTAATTAAAAAAAATGTAATGATAATGATAATGAGTTCATACCTGTGAAGTAGTGCAGAATGCTCATCATCATATGTATAAAGCTCATACTGCTTTGCAAAAGCATTTCCAAGAGAAATGACCCAATCAATGTCTTGAACAACATCCAAAGTTTTTGCAAGAAACTACAAACAAAAAAAGAAATAAATAACAATGACATGAAAAGTAAAATCGCTATCCATATGAATTATAACACATACATTGATTGTCATAGCATCCTACGTTTCTTGATAATTAAGGTCTTTAGTGTCACTGACAGCTTTCATTTTTGGAATCTAGAGCTTAACAAAACAATATATAAGTTAGAGTTAGGTCAAAGCATCATAACTAATCCAATTCCAAACACATTAAAAAATAAAAATAAATAAAGATTATTGCAATAGATGCAGGAATCTTGATTCTTGGCCTGCAAACTACAAAAAATCAGAAATAAAGACAAAGTGGAGCTTTAATCTTACCTTGAAAATAAACCAAAAATCAAGAATATACCATTCAAACCCAAGCCCAACAAGAATAAGTGACATGAACACCCAAAATTTTATTGGTTCCATACTCGTTATAAAGTAAGCCTGGAAACTTAAAAAATAATAAAAACTCCATATATTATATTGTCTCAAGTAAAATTGAAAACGTTTATTTAAATTACTTCTCCTGCAGCTCTCTTTGAGGCAGATCCATCTGAAGCTAGAGCTCTTTCAGCACATACATGAGCATGTGCAACATTCTCAACATATGTGAAATCATACATGTTTGTTCCATCCCTTATAATAAACTGGTAATCCAAAAATCAACCAAAGAATGTAAAAATTAAAATCAGTTTCAATTAAATAGAGACTCATTAAAAACTTATATAATCGAATTTCAGATTACCTTTGATTTCCCTGCCCTTGCTGCAGCTAAAGATGGAACAAGCAACTTATCACCAGGGCCAAAATATTATTGGATAGTCAGCCTTTGAATATTATTAGTGGTGTTGTAGATGAGATCTTGACACTTTCCCCAATCCACCAGGCCACCACGAAAGAAAAGATTAAGAGAGTGGAAACAAAGTTGAATTAGAAAATACGAAAAAATATCAAAAAGTGGAAAAACAAAGAGAAAAGGGGGGATCTTTATATAAGAACAATCCATTTCATGTTACTTGCTTTGCTTGAAGTTAAAGTAGGACTGTGAAGGACAAACTCGTCCGTTTGGGGATCAAATGTTGCAGTTGTTTCAAGACCTTGAACATTGGATCAATGACCAAGTTATGTTTGTCCAAACAAACATCCATAAGCATGTTCATAACTAAGACTTGGGAGTTGGGAAGGACAAGAAATTACCCAGTGGAGATTCAAGTTCAACCATGTCTTGTGGTGTTAGTTTCACAGATAAAGCTCCAATGTTTTGCTGAAGGTTTTCAATTTTAGTGGTTCCTGGTATGGGCACAACATCTTTCCCCTGGTGGTGAACCCACGCCAATGCTAGTTGTGATGAAGTGCACCCTTTCTTTACTGCAATCGCACTAACTCGTTCGTACTCGTTCGTACAACATTTTATTATTCTCAAGATTCTCAGGTAGGAACCTTGGTAGATTCTACAAAAAGAGCAAGTATATATATATATATATATATATATATATATATATATATATATAAACACAAGCTCAAAATCAGTTTAATGATTTTATATTATAATTGATAAAGAATCTGATTCAATTTGTTTTATGCAGACCTGACAAAAATCGCCCTCTGCCAAATTCTCAGCCATCTGTGAATCCTTTTATTAGTTTATCAATTCATGATCAAAACAACAAGATTCCAACACTCCACCAATCAGCAGCCTTGTCATGGCCTTTACCAAGAATAATTTCAGGTGACATGTATTCTACTGTTCCACATAAAGAATTTGATCTTGCATTTTCATCAAACTCTTTTGCTAGCCCAAAATCCGTAAGCAATGCCTAAATAAATAAACTCACATGTTTAATAAAAGAACTGTGTGTGTTTGTGAGAGAGAAAACAAAAAAAAAGTACATGTCCATCCACATCAAGTAGTATATTTTCAGGCTTAAGATCCCTATGCATTATCCCATTTGCATGAAGGTGAGAAACAGGTGAAACAATCTCTGCAGCATAAATACGTGCCAAATCCTCTCTGAAACAATCATAATCATAAATTCTTAATCAGTTTATTTTATTTTTAAAGTAACAAAAACAAATAAATAAATAAATAAATAAAACTCACCAAAACAGTCCATGATGATATAGCTGGAAAAAAAGATGTCCACCATTCACAAAGTCCAAAACGAGGTAAAGTTGATATTTTGTCTGAAGATTAAAAGAGTGAGCATAGACAGAAACAAAAAGGGTAGTTTTGGAATTTAGAAAAAAAGTACCTGGAAAGAGTAACGAAGCTGGACAATAAAGGGATGATCAATCTTTGTCAAGATATCTCTCTCTGCTTTCATATACTCAGCATGATTTTTCTCCACAATCTTATCTTTTCTTACAACTTTCATTGCATATATTTCCAAACTATCTCTCTTTCTCACTTGATACACTTTACCAAAAGCCCCTTGCCCCACAACTTTCATGACTTCAAAATCTTCAAGCCCTATGGTTTTCACCTTACAAGGCATTTTCAGAATCTTCTTCTTCAATCTCTTTATCTATCACATCACTGAAATCCTCCAATGATTCATCCGTTTCACATATGGTTAACTTCCTTAGATTCAGCAAGTGGCTTACACATGGCGTGGGACCCACTAAAGAATGTGAACGACTGTAAATGACCACAGGGTCATCGCTTGGAATTTCAGAATTGCCAGCTGGCAGTGGGAGAGGACCAAATGTATCAGAAAAGTCCAATTCAAGAGTATCTGATGTTTCATTGGGAGGGTTTTTTGGGAATTGGAAATAGTTCTTGGAGGATTTGAATGGCTTGTTTTCAATTAAAGCAGTTAATTGAGAAGAAACCATTGTGGAAATTGGAAAACAGAAAGGAGTGTTTTGTTCGCGTTTGTATTAGTATTACAGACTATGGATGGAAAGATACTAAGATTCGAGCTGATGAAAGGCTTCTACCAATGGCTTTAATTAGAAGGAAGTTTAAGTAAACAATTGGATTTTCAAAGAAAATTGAGAGAATGCTGATTTATGTGTGTGTTGGAATCACCAAAAAAGATTCATGGAAAGCATTAAATCTAAGAAAGAATACGACCTGTGAGGTTCAAGAAAACCCCATCCGTTTACCTTCAATCACCAAAGACCACCACTTCTTCATTCTTCTTCCTTCGATCTGTCCAAACCCCAAAGGTCCTCCGATTTCTACCGATGACAAAGTCTAAGATGTGACAACCCAAGTTGTCCCGTTACATTTCTCCGTTACCGCTAACGGAATATTCCACTGTTCAAAAGTTCCGTTAATGAGAAGTCGTCAAGTTTAATAAACATTTCAATTATGTATGTTTATATGCCGTTAAGTCGTGATAAAAGGAAATAAAATACATAGCATATATTTCCATTTACTTGGAAAATATTAGTTTACTATTACGACCACTAAATCGGGTGCGACCAAAAGCCCCGTTTAACGGCAGTATTGGGTAGAATTCCACTGTGTCCTGACTCAAAACCCTATGTAAGGGTGAGTGGAGTCCATTGGAGACTTTTTACACTCTCTCTCTATACTCTCTCTCTAGACCCGTTTTCGCCCCGAAACCGCAACCAAACGCTTCTAAATTGTAAGTCCGCTTACCCTAGCTTATTCTAAACATATTGATTTGTGTTTGTAGCCCAAAAATCAGACTTAGAAGCTATGAAAAAGGAGTTTACGGCCTAAGAACCTCCTTAGGCCGTAAACACCCAAAACAAGGTCAAAACGACCCAAACTTGTCCCTAATGGCTTGGAAATAAATTGAGGTATTAGCCTAGGAGTGTTTAAACATTAAAACTCATGGATTTGGGGGTTAAAAGAGAGTTTACGGCCCAAGCACAAGCTTAGGCCGTAAACACCTCAAAATCATGTTAAAAGGCCCCAAAAACACTCCCAAACCACACTAGGGCTTAACACATAAATTAAGGGCTTATTCCTTTGGGTTTAGATCACTTAAATACATCAAAATGAAGGATGAAAATGAGTTTATGGCCCAAGCACATGCTTAGGCCGTAAACTCCCCAAACTAAGCCAAAATGTTGGTTTTTGTCCCCCAAATGGCCTTAGACTATTTCTATAAAATGCTAGAAAGGATTTAAGGACTTAAACACAATGAAATGAGGCATGATTTGGAGTTTACGGCCCAAGCATTTATCTAGGCCGTAAACACCCCAAAACCCACTCAGATGATGGTTTTAATCCTCCAAAATAGCATCATACTTCATTAGAAATCACTAGAAAGGCATTAGGGGCTTTAAACTTCACAAAATCCAAGGTATGAGAGTTTACGGCCGTAAACTCCCATGGGAGTGTTCATAGGCCGTAAACTCCAATATAATGCCCTTAGAAGCCTCAAATCCACTCATGCCTTTTATGAAAAGTCCTTAGAAAAATCCCATGAGCAAGCTAGAAGCATCAAACACCCAAGAAAATGACCTTGGGAGTTTACGGCTGTAAACTCCCTTGAGTTAGGCCGTAAACTCCAAAATGGTCCATGTTAATGCTTTAAAACCCTTCACACACTTGGTATTTGAGTTTAGCAAAGTTCCACAACTGATAGGAGACCCGTAGCACCCTTAAACGCTACCCGAGACCCCAAACACTTAACCAAAAGTGTTTTCCGCTCCTTTGAGCGCGTATATTTGTGTAATTAGCATTAAATATAATAACTGTATGTGAACATATGTTATCATATGTTAAATAGGTCATTGAGTGTGTTCGAGTCCTTACGTGGCACCGAACACCCAAACAGCACTCTCGTCAGACCTACTTACACCAGGTGAGTTCATACCCCTGAATGAACCTTTTAATGTTTTTAAATGTTTTAAAGGGGGGAATACAAGTTAAACATGCCAGTTATCATGTCAATCACATGTGATTGATAACCCGCATGCACAAGATTTTACCACGTTACACTGTTTTAGACCTTACCAGCTGTACCTTTCATTTGGTACCTTCTGGGGTTTGTGTCTCCATTTGTGAGACTGAACCAGGCGTGACGTTAGTTCGATACTCCCCTGGAGTCTATGGTTCTTTGCCTTAGCCAGCAGTCCTCACTGCTGAGGCATATGATATTCCTTGATGTCGTTGCTTTCCTCAATAATCAAATTCAGTATTTTGATAATGATAGCAATTTAAGGAAAACTACATTTACCTTACATCACTGACCAGTCTTGGTAGAAGGCTGCTTTTATTAAAGAAAATATAGGATTTTCTGGAAAGGACTCTAATACACTGAAATCTCTTAAACTATTACTTTCTTAAGTTATTTGAATGAAATGTCACTAAATGCTTATGAACTCACCAGCATTTGTAAAAATGCTGATACTTGCTTTTCAAATAACTTGTATTCTCAGGTCAGCAATTAGACAGGTACACCCTCGGAGCTGTTGATGAAGATGGCTTAGTACCTTGCTGTATTTATTATATTTACTTGTATTACTTTAAAGTGTTGTAATGTAACCATGTAAAACTATTACTATTAATGCAATGTTTTGTTGTACTTTTATTACTATAATGCATGTGTTGTGATACTTGACATGACGTCATCCACCCCAGAACGTTTCCGCCGTTCCGGTTTTGGGGTGTGACAGATTGGTATCAGAGCATTGTTTATAGTGAGCTAAGTATATCAATTCATAAAAGATATACAGCCTATAAATACAAAAGGGATAAAACACTCTGACCAAGAATTATACTTTAAAATATAACCATATTTTACCAAAGTATAATAACATCCAGAATCTAAACACTCGAACACAAGTATCACAAGAAGAACAAGAATAAAAGTCTTCGGATATTGAGCACTACAGACAAATCTGGGCAGTTATGTAATCGTACGCTGGAATAAATGTAACCTGATCAACTACCTTTATTCGAGATGCGATGAATGTGTGCTCGGGAGTGATTTGTGGTGTGCAACAGGTCTGAAACTTACCAACTAGGATTTGCTAGAGCCAAACATAAAGTTAAAATACTATAGGAGTATTTTAGAGCGCTAAAAGATTCACACTAATCCCAGAATGACATTCAGAAGATGAGAAAACAAACAAGAGTTAAAATACCATAGGGGTATTTGGAATACATAGATAACCTGGTGTGAGAATTAAAAGATCCTTATTGATATACCTACAACTACAGAGGGTATACTTCCAAGGTTATATATAATAAGGATCCCATAGACTAAGAATGTGTGGTTTCGCTCTATTTCCTTTTCCTCGTTGGGATGTGGTTCTAGAGTAGTATCACATATTCGAAGGCCTATCGGATCTAAGCTATATATTATTTGTATACCCTGTGTAATCGTAGCAGGACTCGATGTTGATCATCCAGCGAAATGTTAATAATCTATTAGGATTCTTTAGACATTTCCATTCTCGCACGAACCCTGTAGAAAACCCTACCCACTTCAGTGCATAACAAAAGAGTTGATTCCGACCCCGAAGAGGTTCATTTAGAAGACTTCCTGTTCGGAAATAAATGAACTGGGTCGAGACTATTGAAAGCACCAAGTGCCCATATTCTTTTATGGACATCGGTGAGGAATTCGCTTAAACTTCAGAGATTCCCAGTCATCCATCATGAAGTACTGACACCCATAATTGGAATCAGAGGGAAGGCGGAGTAGAAATTTAATATGTCCATGCGAGAAGAGAACCCTAGGAAACTACCCGAAGGAAACCAACGCTGATTCCAGTCAAAGATACGAGGCAGACCGAGGGAGCCAGTACGTGGAACCCGAAAAGTGTCTTTTCCTCGTGTTCGTCACGCTAATACACCCATAAAATAATACAATTTAGTGAGTTAGTGATTACACTGCTCACGCTATGTGTTAGGTAAATCGCCTTGTTCCCGTTGCCAGTAATACGCTTAGAACGGATCCCCACACCTCTGTGAGGTTGTTTAGCCATAAGCCCTCATGAGCCTCTCTTTCCGCAGCTTCGTTCCAAACTGTTCTCAAATCTCTCCGGGCCGGAGAGTGAAACCTTTCTCAGTATAAAGGTAACTTAGTAGGAACGACTCGCATCTTATGGCCTTTTTCTGATACTCATACACCCACTTCGATTACCAAGACTACATCATAGGGATGTAGGTCGACACTCAGACAACCAATACCCGAGGCACGGGAAAAATATTATGCCTAATACGTTCAGGACAGAAATGTCCAGGGTTAACTATCGTCTTTCATTACCTTGTATTCCTTTCCGTGTAGGAAAACCATGCCACCGAAGAAGCGTAACCAATCCACAAGCAAGAAACCTACTCTCTTATTTGATGAAGCTACGTTCCAAGCTGCAGTCTCCGCAGCCGTAGCAGCTGTCATGGCTCACCTAAATGCTAACAACGCTAATGTTAGCGAGGTGCCCGTCGAAAATTCCAATCCTGACAATGGACAACACCTACCCACACTTCCATACTCAACCACCCAAGAACCTCAACCGAACCCACTAAAGAAAAAAAACTCAAGATAGAGGAAGGAAGTACCTCGGCTCAAGGACCTTCCGAAGGGCAACGAGCTAAGGCAGTCTGTACCCCTATCAACCCTTCCCTCCCGATCTCAAGGAGACCGTACCTAGGAGACCTCCCCCACTGCAGCAAGTGCAGCTACCATCATCATGGTGCCTGCCGGGAACTCTATTGTGCTAGGTGCAACATGAAGGGGCATACTGCTCGTGTATGCAGAACTCCGGTGGAACGTATTGCATCAATCGCCAATGCGGCGGCCACACAGGTTTGCCGCCTATGTGGCGAGTTTGGACACTTCAAGAAGGACTGCCCAACCAAAGGGAAAGACAAAGACACAGAAGAAACTTGACACTACTGCTTA